GCCCCCGCCGAGACAGCCCCCCGCATCCCCCCCCCTTCGATCGCCAATCCGATTTTGTATGGATCTGTCCGCTGGCCTGGCTGAGACTGAGAGCGGACTCGGGCGTGGAGGACTTCCAAGACGGGGTGTTCCCGAACCCGCTCAGCTGTTTTCCCCACCACACTCAAGCGGGAGAGAGCTCGCCGGCGTGCTTTCTTCTCCTTTTCCGAAAAGGATTCAAACGCTTGGTGGAAATCCGTGTAGGTCTCGATGACTTGACGGGAAGGAGGGGGGCCAGGCTGGGACAGAGGGGGAAGCGGGGAGGGAAGCGGGGGAAGGCGGAGGAGAGGCAAGTCAAATACCCGGCCCTCCGTGACGGTGACCGTGCTCTCCTCCGAAATCTGCTGTCGATAAGACACTGCGCCGCCAAAGCGCCGGCGCCGATGGGGCTGCTGGTTGTGGAGGAGGGTCTCGGGGGGGTGGCCAATGGCCTCGTCGTCTTCTTCAAAAGGTGAAGACGCCGGAATACGTGCAACGTTTCTGTATTGAGAACGTAAAATGCCGCCATGAACATGGGAATACATCATATTTTCCGTGATGCATATTTACGAAGGGGACAGAAAAAGGAGGGAAACCTATGTGCTTCTTACGAGACAGGGGAAAGAAGTGCGGGTCTTCCACTTCATATACATCGGAATCAACAATGACCCACGAATCGGGCAACACGTATCTTCACTGAGTGCTGGTTGAAGCAAAGGAGGCATCAATAGGAGAAAGCTAAATACGTGATACCGTACCGGGAAAAATTAATGCCGCGGATGCGTCGTATGGTCGGCCGAATGCGGAGTCGCTTGAGGAAAGTGAAGCGTTGCCGGGTAGGAGCGACGGAACTATACACAAGAGGGCGAATTGATGACATCATGGTCGTTGCCAGGAAACAGACCATGACCGCGCGGGCAGGCAGGCCAGCCGCACGCCCCGACATTTCGTTCTTCGGGGAGGCCTGTCTTACCCTGTCACAAGTGTTCCACACACTCCCTGTCTGACCCAGACACCAGAAGAAGCAGGTATGTGGCTATTCCCCTTGCAGACAAGGTGGAGCCGTGCTTGTAGCTGTAGTGACGCGAATGGCTGGCAGCGCTGGATGATAGCCCGTGTTGTGGCAAGGAAATCAGCTAGGGTGCGCCTGGGAAAGCGATAGATCTTTCGAGGGTCGCCTCGAAAACCGCAACGCAACGACAGCCTTGCCAACTCTCGACAAAATCCTGCGTTAATGCAGTGCTTGGACGAAACGTACCACGAAAAGTGTTCCCTGAGCGTAGATCGCGATGCCAGGGGAAAGGACTTGTCGTTAAGCTTAATTTTGCCCAAATTGTGGCTCCCCAAAGCCCGCTCGCCACCAACCCCCAACAAATTGCGGTCTAAAGCACATAACAACATGACACCAGACATGATTAACCCGCGAGTGTGACAACATGCCAAGAAAAATAACGCCCTCAAGTGCCAAGACACCCGACGCCGTCCGAATGTCGGGACGTTCAAGAAAAGGCACGAATGTCTTCTGATTCGAGCACCCGCGGTCTGACCTCAGCGCACAATAGCACGATCGCTGGGAGTGGGCCACGGCGAGGAAAGATCGACGCTTGTTCCCTCACGTCGCCAGTACCAGCGAGTCCCGCTCAGTTCAACTGGGTAGGCTGCGCAATGCTAATTTTCCCGGGTGTTCTATCCATCCATTGGTAGATTCGATGCTGCGGCGTTTTCCAGGATTGTCGCACCCGGCGACTGTCCGTTACGGGCGTCGACTCCAGCCACACGGTCATACACTCCAGTCTGAAAGCCCAGGAAACCCCACGTCCATGCCATCCTGTCGCCCTCTTTCTTCATCTGCCCTTTTGCCGCGTCCATTTCGTGTCTTGGGCTTGCAGCAAGTGGCCATCGGCGCGTTGGACAAGTCAGGGCCATGCAGATTATGGGGCGATGTCCTCGGCGTTCCCATGACCGGCACGTATAAAAGCGAGTTGGAAAACGTTGATGAAGACATCTTCCGTGTTGGCGCTCCGGACTGCCCGTGGGCTGTTGAAATCGATTTAATGCAACCCATCGACCCCGCTAAGGCGCCTAAAGTGCACGTTCCAGCTCTCAACCACATTGGCCTCTGGGTTCACCCTTTGACAGCCGCGGTGGAATACCTTTCCAAGCAAGGTGTGCGTTTTACACCAGGTGGAATCCGACGTGGCGCCGCTGGGCACGACGTCTGTTTCATTCATCCGAAAGGCAACGAGAAAAGCCCCTTGTCAGGGGAGGGGGTTTTGATAGAGCTCGTGCAGGCCCCCCCGGAGGTCGTGAGAGCGTACGAAAGCGCCGTGGAGACTGCCGACTCGGCGCGATCCAAGGGTTAATTGCAATGAAGTCCATTGAGCACAAGCAGCGAAATTTCTACGTTTTCTTTGTTCTAAGAGCGTGGCATCAAATCACGAGCTGAATTGTTCACGTTTATCAAGTCAAGAATCTGCCTTGCCCCTCCCAACAAAAGGTGACCAATGAAGTCATCAAAGTAGAGACAAAGCAGGATCCACGCTAGAGACCGCAGAAATCGACGTGTGCGATTTATTTTGAATGTTTCCATTGCGATTCGGACCAGGCTATTCTTTTTGAACAATTTAAAAATCGAAAAATTGAATTTTGGACGTTGTACACTTTGAGACCAGTCTCCTTTTCAGAGTAAGATGATTTCGTTTACCTCAAATTTGACAGTCAACACAATGCCCTGGTGGAAATGTAGGGTATCGCGTTTAAGTGACGTTTGGCTTTTCGATCATGCAGCACACTGCGGTTTTCCCTGGTCCCACCGCCTCCTCGCAGGTGTTTTAACACAGCCCCCGACAATGACTTGTGTTCTGCACGCAACTTGTCCCACACTATGGTAGCTTTGCTATCTTGCCTTAGTACCTTAGGCTGCGGACATTTATTCTTTCCCTGACTTTTCCGCCTGATGTACGACAGGCCTGGGTAGCCCGACTGCCTTTGACCGTATTTTCTATTTACTGGCCTTATCCATCGTGATGCGTAAGAAATACATCTATTTAAAATTACTGGTTAGTAACAATGTCGTGCATTCGAAAGATTATGATCAACAATACAATTTTATCAGAACTTGGCTCGGAGAGAAGGGGGCTGATCGCGAGCGCGATCCCCTCTCCCGCTGCTGTACAAACTATCGGATGGTTGGGTGTCGAGGCGCCACGGCGGCCCCTGGGGAACCCTTTCGGACCTCAACCCCCCCATATCAATCGGAATAGTAAACAGATAATGGGCAAAAAACAAGGCTCCACACATGCACATGTACGCATGCGGCTGCTTGATCGTGCCGTCTACCCCACCCGAGCCTCCCCTCGCCAACGGTCCTAGGATTGCCCGCCCCATGCCTGGAGTGCGGAGCCCGCCATCTCCTGGAGCAGCATCCATTTGACATGGGCCGCGGCCAGCAGGTGCGGACTGGCCTTCACAAAGGCGGGAAAGGCGAGGACCAGGAAAAGGGACACTTTCTCCTCCTCCAGGTACTCCCAGAACGAATCGTAGCCCCCAAGCATCCGCCTCCGCTGCCGCAATTGCTGCAGGCGTTCTTCTGCGTTCGCATACCGGGGCTGCCCCTCGCGGTTGGTTTTCTTCACATGTCCCCACCTGTCCTTACCATGAGTGCCTTCGGCTTCGGCCTCTGGGGCGGACTTGTCCTCGATTCCCGCCCCTGCTTCCGTCGAGCCGACCTCCCTCCACTGTACACTCTCTCCTCCCTCTGGCAGCCCCCCCGCCTCCGCACTGAAGGGCACCACCTTGTTGAAAATCAAGAGCGACGATTCAAGCGCCCCGCCTAGGTGGTAGCGAAGGGCCAAATGAAGCTTGTCTACCTGGATCACCTCGAAAAAGCTACCCGGACGCAAAAAGGCGTCCATTAACGGCAGCTCCGACTCGGGCAAGAGCCGACCCCCCCCGGCCTCCCCCACCGCTTCCTCCTCCTCATTCGCGGGGTCCATGGCTTTTAAGAGCTGGACGCGCGTCACATCCACGTGCACCTTTCCCCCGCGATCCTTCCAGAACGTTCCTTGAAAGGACTTGGGCCGGGGTTCCTGCAAAGAGTCCAGCACAATGGTCGAGGCGCGGGTGTCGAGACGCAGACCCACCACCGCCACCTCCTCCTCTGCCTCTCCCTCCTTCTCCTGCGCCTGAATCAAATACCCCCACCTGTCCCGTCGGCTCTCCAAGAAGGGCGCATCCGCATTGAAAGCCAGACGCCACTCGCCCTCCAAATCGCCCACCTCCCACCCTCCCTTTGCCCCGGCTTCGAAGGCCGCATCGTACTCTACCATGTGTAGGGCGGCCATTAACATCTCTTTGCTCACGCTCTGGTCCTGCGCTGCCTCGACAATCATCTTTTTGGCGAGGGGAAGAGGCATATCTGCGTGCCATGAACGTCCCTCCAGCGTGGTGGGCCGAGCCCCTTCTTTTGTCCAGGGCCGGTTGAGCCCGTCGTACAGCGTGCAGTGGAAAGGACTGGTCTCCAGGAAGGGGTGTCTGTGGGGTCGGAAAACAAAGGAAGGGCCGTGAACCACATGCATGAGGAAAAAGAGGGAGAAAACAGGCAAGAGACTGCGACCGCGAACGCAGGCAAGGGCACGAAAAACAAGTGCAGAAGGACGCTACTCAGAGGAAAAGGCAGGGTTCGACGGAGGAGGCAACCAAGTTTAGAGGATATGCGTACGAAATGGCCGCCGTACATGCACAATGGCTCCTTAATACCAACAGAGTAATAAGAGGACGAGCTGTTTCGCATGCTGTGCATAAAAATTACATGCCCAGGGACCATCGGAAAGAAATTATACATGGCAATGCAGTGACATGGAAAGCACACATGCAGGCCCGTCATTTTACGTCGGAGAATAGCGGTGGCGGCGTTTGAGTAGAAAAAGAGAGAAGGGGTCAATGCGGGTGGGAGGAGGGCAAAGGGCAACGGCGGGAATAAAAGTAAGACCGCATCGTATTTCACAAAAATACGTACTTGCTCTTATTTGTAGTGTCTTCCTCTGTCGTTTTCGTGGTCTTGATTGTGTCTACCGCAGAAGGAGGTACCTTGTGCTGGTTGTTGAGAGTTTTGCGACGCTTCTGATGAACACCACCCCCGACTGTCATGCGAAGCTGAAAAGAAGAAGCAAAATGATAGGAGGCGGCAGCCAACGAAAATGCAACGCCTAAGTAGGAGATGCGACTCGGCATATTGTTTGTGTTGCCTGGATTCAATTCGTGTGAATTTCAAGAGTGGATTGTGAAGGGACGTAAAAAAAAACGCGTGCGCACGGGTGTCAACATATTTGAAGAACGCGAGGCAGCAGAAGGCGATCGGAACGACGCGGGAGCGAAAAACATTATCAACCCTATCATGCCGAGCAACGAAATTCATTGTGCGGCCAACCATCAGTTTCTGTGTTCCAAATCCTTTTATGTATCTCTATTAGGGTCCTGTCTGACAGCACAATATTATTCATGGTCTTAAGGCCCAAAACCAGACACGGCCCGCGTGAACCTTGAGAAGATCGGAACGGTCTCCCCGAGAGGAGGGAGAGGAGGTCGCTCGACAGCCACGGCCGAGCCCATGCTGAATAAAGTCTGAACAAAATGCGCCCCATCGCAACCAATTGCCTGTGGTACTCTTGCGTACGTGTTGATTTTAAACCTTTGCTTGCTGCGCACGCTTTGCAAGGCTCACTCGTCCTTTGTTTTTTCATCTTCACCCTGAAAGTTTGTTCTTTGCGTGCCTCGAACCGTCTGAAAAATATTGCACGCGTAGGCAATTAACGAACGTATCCCTCAAAATTTTCCTTGTTCACAGGCCTCCCGATTATAAGCAAGCAATACATTAAAAAATATACGCCACTATGGCGGACCTGGGTCTGGGCAAGGTATGTTTCGAAGAGTTTCTAAACCGGCCTCCTAGGTTTTTTCAAGAAACTAGTTTGAGAATGAGTGTTCGAGCACGGCATGGTACGATGCCGGTGGCTTCTATGTGATATTTTTGCTTAGTACGTTTTCCTTTCGTCGTTTTGTTCCTCACTCTTCTTTTCGCGCCTTCGTGGGTCGCTCCCCTCTCTGCAGGAAACCACGAAAGACCTGACCCGTATCGAGCGGATCGGCGCTCACAGCCACATTCGCGGCCTGGGCCTGGACGATGCGCTAGAGCCTCGGGAAGTTAGTCAAGGGATGGTCGGTCAAACAGGGGCACGCCGGGCTGCGGGGATAGTTTACAAAATGATCAAGGAAGGGAAGATTGCAGGGCGTGCCATCCTCCTAGCCGGTCAACCTGGCACGGGGAAGACAGCCGTGGCCATGGGCTTGGCACAAGCACTGGGGGAAGGCACCCCCTTCACGACGATTGCGGGCTCGGAGATCTTTTCCCTGGAGATGTCCAAGACGGAGGCCATGACGCAGGCCTTCCGTCGCAGCATCGGGGTGCGGATCATGGAGGAGACGGAGATCATCGAGGGGGAGGTGGTGGAGGTCCAGGTGGACACGCCGGCGGGGGGTGGGGCCAAAACGGGTAGGATCACCCTCTGCACCACGGAGATGGAGACTGTGTACGACCTGGGGGCCAAGATGATCGAGGCGCTCCAGAAGGAGAAGGTCTCGGCGGGGGACGTGATCACCATTGACAAGGCGAGCGGGAAGATTAGCAAGCTGGGCCGGTCCTTCACGCGCTCCCGGGACTACGATGCCATGGGCCCCCAAACGCGCTTCGTGCAGTGCCCGGAGGGGGAGCTCCAGAAACGGAAGGAGACGGTCCACGTGGTCAGTCTCCACGAGATCGACGTCATCAATTCCCGGCAACAGGGGTTCCTGGCCCTCTTCGCGGGGGACACGGGGGAGATCAAGGGGGAGGTGCGGGAGCAGATCGACATGAAGGTGGCAGAGTGGCGGGAGGAGGGGAAAGCGACCGTGGTGCCAGGCGTCCTTTTCATCGACGAGGTCCACATGCTGGACATCGAGTGCTTCTCCTGGCTCAACCGGGCCCTTGAAAGCGACTTGGCGCCCGTCTTGATCATGGCCACGAACCGAGGGATGGCTCAGATTCGAGGCACAGCCTACAAGAGCCCGCACGGTATTCCCATCGACCTCTTGGACCGGCTCATGATTATTAGCACCACCCCTTACGCCGAGGCGGAGGTGCGGAGAATCTTGCAGATTCGATGCGAAGAGGAGGACGTCGAGATGAGCGATGATGCACTGGAACTTTTGACCAAAATAGGAATGGAAGCTTCGTTACGGTACGCCATTCACATGATCATGGCCGCCTCGCTCGTTGCCCACAAGCGAAAAGCCGGTGAGGTGGATGTACAAGACATCAAGAGGGTGTATTCATTATTCGTAGATGTCAAGCGGTCGACGCAGTTTCTGGTGGAGTACCAGCAGGAGTTCATGTTCAATGAACTGGGGGGGGATGACATGGAGGAGGAGGAGGAGGAGGAGGAGGAGGAAGAGGGGGAGAAAGCAGCGGTAGGGGAGGGGAGGGAGGGAGCGGCGGACATGGCAGAGGATTAAGGACCAAGTTAAGGGAGTAAAAGCCCGTTAGCTATAGTCACTACACAAATAAAGCGGTAATAAAGTTCAGTTTTGCCCCATTTCAATGGTAACAATAAGAATTGTTGCACGAATTATTTCTTTATCCGAAGCGCAGGAACATGTAGCTCGAGCACCACTGCATCGAAGACGACCTTATGTTTGCCCTCCGCAGACAGAAAAAGAGGGAAAAACAGAGCGTCGCACACACCTCTAGACTTGCACGTCACGCGATTTTCAGAATTCAGCCCGGTGCTTTCAGATGACACGACCCAAATCATTCGGGCATTCGTTCGTGAGACAATCTCCAGTCGTCCATGGCGGCGTGTGCTTTTTCCGTACAATCTAAGATTGTACGCCGACGCCCCCGAGATTCCGACAGCCTCTACCCATATATGATGCCCAAGAGACACAACACGCGTCCATTGCGTCCGAACCCCCGTGCATCCAGATGTTCCGATGACAAGCACGCTGTCGCCGGTTTGGCAACACTTGGTATCGCGAAAGGGAGTGCTGGACTTACATGTCCTTCGTTGCCTTCAGAAAACAGGACATTTGCACCACATACGCATGCACGGATCATGCTTTCTTAACAAAATATTTCAAATTTATTTAATCATGCAGCTAAGCTTACTATATTTCATTCACTGGCAGGTTGCGACAGCAATAATGGTGCCCGATAAGCCAGTTTCCCCTCCTCCTCCACCTCCCCCCTCCCGGGAAACCACTGCATCGGAAGCCGCAAAACCAGGCAAGCGGGCAAAGAGGTGGTTTCCACTTGAAAGCAATCCATCAGTCATGCAGAAATACGTGCTAAGCCTCGGCCTCATCCCCACTTTCTACAAATTTACCGATGTTCTCTGCACTGAGGAGTGGGCGCTTGAGATGGTTGTTCCTCCTGTCCTTGCCCTCATCTTCCTGTACCCCATCAAGCCTGCGAACGAGATTTTCCGTCAAGAGGAAGATGCCCGTATCAAAGCGCATGGGCAAATTGTCTCGCCACGCCTGTTTTTCACCAAGCAAACCGTCGGGAACGCTTGCGGGACGGTCGGGCTCCTGCACGCTCTCCTCAACAACAAGGACAAACTCGAGTTCCGAGAGGGAAGCTTCCTGGAAAGTTTTGCAGAGCGGACGCAAGACAAGACCCCTGATGAGCGGGCGGTGATTCTGGAGGAGGACGAAGGCTTGGATGCCGCCCATGGTTGCGCCGCGGCCGACGGCCAAAGCCAGCAAGTCCCGATGGAAGAAGCAATCAATACGCACTTCGTCATTTTCGTCGAGAAGGATGGCTACCTGTACGAGCTGGACGGGCGGAAAAATTTCCCCATCAACCACGGGAAATCCTCCCCGGAGACGCTCCTGCAGGACGCGATGGCGGTGGTGCGACGAGTGATAGCGATGGACCCACAGGAGCTCAAGTTCACGATGGTGGCGTTGAGCAGCGCCGCGGGGGGGCAGGAGGAAGAGTGAGAGGGGTCAAGGGGGAAAAGGAGAGCAAGGGCAGTGAAGAGGGGCAATGAAAGAAATATGGCCGGGCATTTGTCTCTGCGTCGCTTTTTAAGCCTTGTCGTTACGTTTTTGGGGGCAGACCTGTCAATTCGTTCGGTCGTTCATCAAGATTGCACCTTCTTCAGAACCCTGCCCCCCCACTTTGCATTAGTCA